ACTGTTGTTACTAATATTACTGTTATCTTTTAAGATACAGAATTAATACAGTGAAAACTACATTGGGCTAACATCAGAACTTAGTGTTCTGATATAGTTGAGAAGGGACAGTGAAAACAGGCAGTAGATTTCAGTAATTTTAAGAATCCTCTATCCCTTAAAATTATTTTTGCTTTTCAGGAATGTAGGTTTAGTTCTGATCAGATGATGAGTAAACATCTTCTGAGGCATTCTTTTTCTTTGCTTTCTTTTTCTTTCTTTTTTTTTTTTTTTTTAACAACTTTCAACCCCATTGATTTTTTTTTTTAAGTTTGAAGTAGATAGTTGGTATCCATCTCTGTTACTTCATCAAGGTGTACTATACATTGTCTTTAGTGTGATTAAAGTACATTTTTTAAAATGCTACTTAAAAGCAAAACAACTTTCTAATATATTATGTCACTTAGATAAATAAGAAAATATTGTACATTGCATAGGGAACCTGTGAGAATTATGTAAATGAGTGATAGACTCTTCTAGGAGGCATATCCTAAAAAATATCTACAAAGATGTTGGGCGATTGTGCCAACAGATTACCTTTTTTCTGTTCCACTGCCTGTTCCAAAATTCATTTTAGCAACTACCATAGAAGTTTTTTTTTTTTTTTTTGAGACGGAGTCTTGCTCTGTGCCCCAGGCTGGAGTGCAGTGGCGCGATCTCGGCTCACTGCAAGCTCCGCCCCCCCGGGTTCACGCCATTCTCCTGCCTCAGCCTCCCGAGTAGCTGGAACCACAGGCGCCCGCCACCTCGCCCGGCTAATTTTCTTGTATTTTTAGTAGAGACGGGGTTTCACCGTGTTAGCCAGGATGGTCTCGATCTCCTGACCTCGTGATCCGCCCGTCTCGGCCTCCCAAAGTGCTGGGATTACAGGCTTGAGCCACCGCGCCCGGCCCCATAGAAGTTTTTACCTAAAGGATAATCAGTTTTATGCTACATTAAATATATAATACCAACAGTATTTTCTCATATTTTATAGATAGAAGTAAACATGTTGAGATCTAGTTTATAATTAGTATGTTTTTGTACTGGTTGGTACGATATTTAAACTCGGTATTTTCATGACTTTTCGGTGGAACACATTTCTGCATAGGTACTTATGTGAGTCAAAGAGCTAGTTCATTAGCCTCTTCATTTCCTCAGTGCATTTTAAAGCTCATTTTTATTGATTTATTTATAATTTCATCTTTTAGATTCAAGGGATACATGTGCAGATTTTGTTACCTGGGTATATTGGATAATGCTGAGGTTTGGGGAATGATGGATTTTGACACCCTTGTACTCAATAGGTTTTCAACTCTTACCTCCCTCCTTCTCTTTCCCCAGTGCCTATTATTGCCATCTTTGTGTGTCTGAGTATCCATTGTTAGCTCCCACTTATAAGTAAGAACATGTGGTGTTTCGCTTTCTGTTCCTACATTAATTTGCTGAGGATAATGGCCTCCAGCTATATCCATGTTGCTGCAAAGGACATGATTTCATTCTTCTTTATGGCTGTTTAGTATCCCATGGTATATGTTTTATAAGTATATATGTATCACATTTTCTTTATTTAATCCACCGTTGATGGACACCTAGGTTGATTCCATGTCTTTGCTATTGTGAATAGTGTTTAAACTTATTTTTAAAACTACTTTTTCTTTGAGTTTTGGGACGCTCTAAACAATAGATGCCTTTTGAAGACGAGATTAGGGTAGATCACGTTGAAATTTTATTTATCTGAGAGTTAATAGTTGAAAGTATTAATTTTGGAAAATAGAAGAGGAGGCTAATTCAGTAATATTTTCATGTATTAAAAATTAATTTAGTGGTATTATATATTAAAAACTAGAATCAAACTGTTCTTATGTCCTCCCCTTTTTAACAATTCCAATTTAGCATTGTTTTACAAAATACTGCTTTTCCCACTGTTTATGGATATAGTAAAAATGTTGCAGTAATTTCTGACACTAACATTTACTTCCCCTTGAATTCTAGAGCTTAATCCTGAATTATTGTTCTTGTTGCAAAATGGTTGTAACAAATATTTAATAGTAAATCTGTGTAAAATGCTTTAGCAAAGTGCTGACTCATAAAAGTTCTGGATATATGTACATTCCTTTCTTGTTTTGAGATGGAGTTTCACTCTTGCTGCCTAGGCTGGATTGCAGTGACACAATCTCGGCTCGCTGCAACCTCTGGCTCCCAGGTTGAAGTGATTCTCCTGGCTCAGCCTCTTAAGTAGCTGAGATTACAGGCACCCACCACCATACCCGGCTAATTTTTGTATTTTAGTAGAGATAGGTTTCACTGTATTGGTCAGGATGGTCTCAGACTCCTGACCTCAGTCGATCTACCTGTCTCAGCCTTCCAAATGGCTGGAATTACAGGCATGAGCCACTGTGCCTGGTTGTTAATTCTTTTCTAATACATGTAGAGTCGTCAAAGTATAGGAAGCAAAACTCTTGAGAGAATTTCACTGCATTGCCTGTAAACGGGCAGTACTGAACCTTAGTCACATTTTTGGTTATTTCTGAATTAATAAAAGTTACTACCAAGAATTATTATATTTGGTGGTATGCTGATAAAAGGTTTAGCAATCAGCTTTCAGGAGGGGACACAAGTCAATGATTTATAGCATTTACATACCTCCACCATGGCTGCTTTCAGTCAGCATGCCATCATTGCATATGGCATTGGGAAGAAATGAGCAGTAGTGTGGCATTACATAGTATTTCTACCATACAGATACGACAGACATAAACTACCTCAAGAACATAGGTAATTGTGAAAATAGAGTAAAATAATTTGGAACTGATGAGTTTTGTGTATTTATTATTTTATTTTTAATGTAATTTATTTCATTGTAGAGTTATATATTCTAGCTTTTTAACAATGGCTTCCAAAATTCCTGAAAATTTAATATCTGGCTCTTGGGAGCCAGTATAAGCAGACTCTAGCAGACCTCCCCTCCAAAAGCATAAATTGGAGATTCCTAGTCCATGATCTATGAATGAGTTCCTAGGGAAGTGCATAAAGCCTGAAAGTTTTTCTGAGGAGAAGTATTGGTTTAGTACCTAATGTTTGTCTGCGACTGTAACTTAAGGATTTAGCAAATAGACAAAGATCAGCTCATGCAGGGCCTAGTAGGTCATAGTAGGAATTTTAGTCTTGAAAGCATTGAAAAGACATTGAAACTAGGAAGTGGTCCAGTAAAGTTGCTATTTTTATTTTAAGAAAAATTATTACTCTACCTGCAGAGTAGTGTAATTACTACTAGTAATTCACTACTACTAGTAATATATGAGGGGATCATCAGCAGTGCATGGAAGAGATGTGCAAGTGATAATGGTGATTGGAAAAGAGTGGAGGTAGTGGAAAAACAATCTTTCACCAAATACCAACTGAGCATTTATTATGTGTCATGTGCTACTATGGGTTTCATTTGAATTATTTTTAATTATTTCCTCCTATTTTCTTATAGTGGATTCTTAAAATAATTAAGGTGTGTAGTTCTAGTCTTTTTATTAATTAGATTAATTGCAAAGATCACTGATAGATCCACTTCTGTTTTATATAGTAATAGTGACAACTAACATTAAGCATATTGTGAATATGATGAAAGACAAAGGCCCAGGAACGAAAGATTGAAGAGACCTTATAACTGTCCTGGAATGGATCCTACACTGGAAGGATTTTTAAAATGCTATAAAAGACATTATTAGTATAGTAGGCAAAAGTGAAACATGGTCTGTGGAACATGGTCTATAGATTAAAGTTCTGTGTTGATTTTAAATTTCCTGAATGAGATCACCATACTGTGATTACATAAGAGAACAGTATTGCACTTAGGAAATACACTCAAGTGTGTATTAAAGATCAGTAGAACATAATATATGTAACTCCTTTGAAAGAATTCATAATAAATGTTTATACATGGACATATGCATAGAGAATGTTAAAAATTAATGTGATAGGTCTGGATAAAGGGCAAACAGGAGTTTTCTGTGTTATTCTTGTTACAGGTATTTCTACAAATCTGAAATACTTTCAAAATAAAAAATTTAAAAACCAAAGGTGTATTGCTTCATACATTGCATGAAGCTCTTTACATGAATGCACATTCGGTCATTCCACTCTAAGCTCTGGGATATTTTAATACTGCAATTTCTATTTTAGAGATGAGTAAACTAAGACTTTAAAAAGTTAGGTAACTCACTTAAATACATATTTTGAGAAAGTGGCAAAGAGTGTTTGTTTTACTGCCGTGACCGTTAAATTCTTACACAAAATATAAATACATCTTTTAAGACATTTAGGAAAATGACTTTATTTTATTTTATTTTGTTTTGTTTTGTTTTTGAGACAAAGTCTGACTGTGTTGCCCAGGTTGGAGTGCAGTGACCTGATCTCAACTCACTGCAACCTCCGCCTCCTGGGCTCAGACGATTCTTCTGCCTCAGCCTCCTGAGTAGCTGGGATTATAGGCATGTACCACCACGCCTAGCGAATTTTTTATATTCTTAGCAGAGATGGCGTTTCACCATGTTGGCCACGCTGGTCTCAAATTCCTGATCTCAAGTGATCCGCCCGCCTCGGCCTCCCAAAGTGCTGGGATTACAGGTGTGAGCCACTGCCCCCAGCCAAAAATGACTTTAAAAAATTAAATTTCTATTACTACCAACCCCCTGCCTCTTTCCTGAAACTAATTCCTGATATATTCCTCCAGAAATTTTGTGTGCAATGGGAGTGTGTATATGTGTGTATTCTTTAAAATGGGAGTATAATAAGCATCCTGTTTATAATGTGCATTTTTTATTCCATCTTAATCTCTTTAGTGAGTGACTTCGTGAAGACTTTATTTAAAATATTAGAAATTATTCATTAAAAAGTAATAGCTTTTTATCACCTCAGTTTGTATTTATGAGCTACATTAGATGCATTTGATACATGTATATTAATTTTTGGTATTTGGCTTTTGTCAGGTGGTTTTGGAATGTATGCTTAAAAAAGACCTCATTTATAATAAGGTCACTCCAACATTTCACCACTGGAAGATTGATGACAAGAAGTTTGGTCTTACATTTCAAAGTCCTGCTGATGCTAGGGCTTTTGATAGAGGTATCCGAAGAGCTATAGAGGATATTTCTCAAGGTAAGTATTCTTGACTATTTTCTTAATTTATTTATCAGTTATATATAGTAGAGGTTATCTTTCTTACAGTTGACCAGAAGTAGTTTTCACACTTTGACCATGTCAGCTTTTGTTATATGTGACCCGGCTTTGAAACCTCACAATAGATGAAGAGAAAATAATAGACTCCTTAACCTGATTTGTATTTGTCACGTCATAGTCTATGTCAATTGCATGTACTATCTTGAATAGTCCATCAACAGCTGACTTCAGATAATTCAAATGTTTTAAAATAAAAGCTTGAAGGAAGGGGGACTAGAAATGTACAGCTGTGAGAATCCCAGTTGGTATTCTACTTGTGTATGTATGACACCAGTCACATCCTTTTTTTGGGTAATTATATAGAACTTGTAATATTCAAATGTATGTAGACTGTAGTTATTCCACGACAAAAGTCTTTACTTTATTGATTTCATTATTGAGGATTGGCAGACTTCCAAACCTCATCTATTCCTTTGTTGTCTTTTCAGTCTATTAAAATGTTAACTCAAAAGCATACAGGTTTTGAAGGGAAGAATAATGTTTTTTTATTTAAGACTGACTTAATGCTTACTTAAAAATCACATTAAAACCCATTTCTTCCCATAAAGGTAGAAATATCTAAGACTTGATTTTTTTTTCTAATTAGGAAGGAAAATTATTTCAATTTAACTTTCTGTATGAAGTAACTGAAAGTGTGCTAGACTACATTGTGATTTGTGTATTTTGAAGATGTCATTTTAATAAGAAAATCTGAAAACATAAACTATGAGACCAGTCACAGGCAAGAACATGGAAATACGTTGTACAAATCTGTTTTGATAGTGCATGAAACTGTAGTTAAGTAATTTATTTAGCTACTTTAAAAGATTGGAATTTGGTAAATGAGTAATTTTTTATTCTGATCCAGAAAAAATTACTATGAAGTAATAGTACCCATTTTGTATTTATTGTAAGACCCCATAAATTCTCCCTAGATCAGTGTTCTTAACCTTGGCTACACATTACAATCATCTGGGAAGCTTTTGAAGCTTAAAATGACTTAGTCTCCACTCCAGACCAATTGAATCTATCTGGGGAATGGAGTCGAGTCACCCATTATTTTTCACAAACTCCAAGTAAGTTCAAATATAGTTAGGAATTGTTCTCTAGTCAAGTAATTGTAATTTGAATTTGAAGAAAAAAAATAAGAAACTTAAAAAAAAAAAATACATGATGCCCTGTGCCTCATTCCACAGAGATTCTGATATATTTTGGTTTGACGCCATACTCTGGCATCAGTGTATTTTTTGACAATTCCTCAATTGATTCTAACCTTTAGCAAGGTTTGAAGAACCAGTGCTTTAAAGAGAAAAATATTATCCATGGCTGCTGGAATTTATATGATTTAAAGTTTTAAATTACTTTTAAGCTTATGCTCATGTACCATAACAGTATACTTCTTTCACTAGGATCAAATAGATTGGGTTTAATGTTTTAAAAAATGATTTACAAGGAGTAGCTTACAAACTCCCAGGTAGAATAGACTATAGTACTTAGTCTGCCTTGTTATTTTTGAACATTGAAAAACATTAGCTAGCATTATCATCAGCTGTTATATAGACTTTCAACAATCTCAAATTGCTTTTACTTGACCTTCTGTGACAAAAAGATAAAATATGCTGCTCTTTCAAAAGGGCACATTTCTCCTTATCTCATGCCTACTCCATGCTAAGCTGTGCCTCTCAAGGGTAGCATGAACTAAGAATACTAGGACAAATCCTTTCTTATTAATTTATTGAAACTAAAGGTACCCTTAACAGCATGAAAATCTGTACAGAGACATTGATGCACAAAAGTCAGTAACAACAGTTGGCCTTTAACTATCAATAGTGGATTAAAACTCATTTGTTTTCCATCTTAGCTAAAGCAACTAAAATCCTGGCTTTGGGTACTAAATACTGTTCCCTGGGTCAAAGCATTTAGAAAAATTGAATAAATCGCATCTTAGCATCACCAGAGCAGTGTAATTATAATCTGCCTAGTAATTGGCAGTATTTGGGAGAAACTAGGGGCAGGGGGTGCTAGAGATAGTATACTTTCAGAGAAAACATCTCGTTAGTTAAGCAACTGGAAATTTTCCTATGGAAGAAGGAAATAATTACATTATTATAACGGGCAAATATAAGTGGCCAGTATCTTAATTGCCAGGCAATCCAGAAAGATCTCTGATTAGTCTTTTAAAGTATTATAATGACATAATCAATTAGTCATTAATACTGGACTCTAAGACAAAAATTCTATGCTTAATTAACCTTATCTATTTTCTTAGGATGCCCCGAATCGAAAAATGAAGCTGAAGGGGCAGATGACTTACAAGTAAGTAACGGCTTGGAAGGAATTTGTAAACATAAAGGATGTGGAAGAAATCACTAGCCTTATTAAATAAACTTATCAATTGCTAAGAATATTTCTAAGACACTGTATTTGTCAAATTTCTCCAGAAAAATATAACCAATACAGGTTGAGCATCCCTCATCTGAAAATTTAAAATCTGAATGTTCCAAAATCTGAAACTTTTTTCTTTTTGAGACAAGGTCTTGCATTGTTGCTCAGGCTGGTCTCGAACTCCTGGGCTGAAGCAATCCACCCACCTCCCCACAATGCTGGAATTATAGGCCTGAGCCACTGTGCCCGGCCCCAAAGTCCAAAACTTTTTGAGTATGGACTTGACACCTCAAGTAGAAAAAATTTACACTTGACCTCATGTAATGAATCACACTAAAAATGCAGTCAGAATTTTGTTTCATGCCTGAAATTATTTTAAATCATGTATAAAATTACCTTCAGCCTGTGTGTTATAAGGTGTATAAACATAAATAAATATCATCTGTAAAGTTGGGTGCTATCCTTAAGATGTCTTATTATGCACATACAAATATTCTGAAATTTGAAACAGTTCTGGTTCCAAGCATTTCAGATAAGAGATACCAATCTTTATATAGAAAGTAAAATTTCTTTCTTTTTTTTTTTTTTTAAGGAAGTGGTTCATAAGATTGTGGGCTGGGTTGGCAGAATGGGCAGGCATACTGGAAATTGGCACAAGTTGGTGTTGCAGTCATGAGAAGGCTGAATTCTATTCTCTTCAGAGGACCTCAATCTTTTTTCTTATGCCTTTCAACTAATTGCTTGAGGTCATGACCCACATTATGGAGGATGCCTAACTGCCATATTATAAGGACATTCAAGCAACACTATGTAGTTGTTCATGTGGTGAGGAACTGAAGCCTTCAGACAACAGCCATATTAGTGAGCCACCTTGGAAGCAGGTTATTCAGCTCCAAGCAAGCCTTAAGATGACCAGTTGTGCCATGTTTTCACTGCAACCTTATGAGGGACCCTGAACCAAAACCATCTATTTAAGCTGCTCTTGAATTCCTGGTCAACAGGAACTGTGAAATAATAAATGTTTGTTATTTTAAGCCACTAAATTTGGGAATGATTTTTGACTGATACAGATTCTGGAGACCTGAAAATGAAGTGCTGCTGCAACAAATACTAAAACATGGGAATGACTTTGGACTCAGGACTCAGACAGTAAATAAAAGCTGGAAGGTCTTTGAGGCGAGGTTTAATAAAGTTCCGAAGAGACTGTTACTGGAAGCTTAAAGGTCTTTGGATAGAGCGTCAGTGAGGGTTTAAATGAAAATGAAGAAAATCATATTGGAAAATGGAAGAAAGGGAATGTTTGTTTAGTGTCTGAAAACTTAGCAACGATGTCACCTGGCAGTAATGTGGGAAACAGAAAATATACCCAATGTATTGGGTGGTTAAGCTAAGGAGTTTTCAAGCAAAAAGTTGAAGCTTTTTGTCTGATTTCTTCTTACTGCTTATGATAAACAGTAAATGAGAGAAGTAAGCTAAGGAAGGACTCCTAAACAAGAACCCAGGACTTCGCTGGTTTTGAAAATTCTCAGTTTCTCAATATGTCAAACGGCTAAGATTAAGAAATGGCTTCTAAGCAAAGATCAAATCCAGGGCCTTCTCAGAAAAGCATTGTCTAAGGATGTGAGTGTAAATTCCTTTGTTAAGACCTCAGGAGGATTTAAGATGAACCTCAGAGAATCTTTCAATTAAAGTAATAGGTCCTATAAGAAGTGTAAATGTATGTCACATAGCAGAAGTTTAAGGTTGAGAAGAGTTTTTCTCATTTATGAGTGTGCTTTTTATCTAATGGAGTGGACCTCTATAAGATTCACAAAGTTTTTTGACGCATTATATTGGCAGAAATACCACCTTTGATTGAAGAGGGGCCCTTTGAATCCCCAAAATTCTACTTACAGGAAGCAAGTTGAAAACTATACAGATGCAAACTTGGCCCACCTTTCAATGAAAATAGAAGGAAATTAGAAATTAGAACCAAGATCTCAAAGGCCAGAGCCAAGAGTTATGAAAAATTATTCCCAGGTCCTAAGTTTCACTCTAGGAACTTCCAACGTTGCCACCTTGATTTCAGAATTACGTGCACCAATAACTATGTTGTTCCTCTCATTTTTTCCACTTTTGAACAAGAAGGTCACATGGCAGTTATCCTCTGCCTGTCCTACCATTGTCTTTTGGGTATGTGTTGGGCAGATAATTTGTATCTTTAGTTCCAGATCATCAGATTGAGAGAAGCGATATATATTCAAGGAGCAGCATTTAAGGAACTACATATACCCAGGGAGTTTCATCTGTACCTGCACCTGTTTAGAAGACGGCATCCTAGCTTTGAAGATGTTGCTGTAAAAAGATGAGACTTGTAGGAAGTCATGGGAGGGTAGAATGTATTTTGAATATGAGAAAAATATAAATAATTGGTGTTCAAAGAGCAGTGAATTATGGTCGTTTTAAAATATGGAAACATTTTATACTCCTTTCTTCACTGGAGTCTAATTCCCCTCTTCCTGAGTATAGGCTGTTCCTAGGGACTCACTTCTACCAAACGGAATGTGTTGAAAATGAAGTGTGACTTCTGAGGGCAGATGATAAGAAAATTTCTGGCTTCCATCTTGCTTTCTGTCTTGTATCACTCTGGGAGAAGCAAGCTACTATGCATGAGGACACTGAAGGAAATGTATGAAGAGATCCATGTGAGGAATTGAGGTCATCTGCCAACAACCAGCAAGGAACTGGAGCCTTTTAGCAACAACCACGTGAAGTGAATCATCCTGAAAGCAAGTCCTTCAGCCACAAACAAGCCTTCAGATAATTACAGCCACTGCCAGTCTCTTTACTAGAACTTCATGGGGACTATGAGCCAGAATCACCCAGCTAAATTGGTCCCACCTTTCTGACTTACAGAAACTATGAGATAATAAATGTTTGTGTTTGAAGCTGCTAAGTGTTGTGGTAATTTTTAATGCATCTATAGGTAAAGAATGCACAAGCAGAAAGGGAAGTTTAACTTTTTCTTAAGATGATTAGAATGATAGCTAATTTTTTCAGAGTTACAACTGCAAAAGAAAACTCTTAAATTTACTTTAGTACCATTTATTTCATTTATGATGTTCCAAAGGTTTAGAAAGTCATTCTTCTTTTGAAATGTATGGGAAGTTGCAGTGTGTTATGATTTATCTAGCTACTTTATTAGGAATAAAATACATGTTAAGTTTCATAATTCATCTTATGGGCTTGACATAAATGTTTTGAATACAGATTATGGTTTAAGGTAGTGTTTATATCAGGTTTATTTCATTGGCAATTGTTTACAAAGACAATATAGTTTAAAAGAATAACGCATCTAATTTTTTAACACAATGAAAGTAATGATAATGTTATATTTAAATAAATGTTTTGAAGGTATTAAATGCCAGAGTGGAAATCCTCTCTCTTTTGAATGTTCATTAATTAATTCAAATATTTGAGTACCTATTTTTGTGCCAATAACTTTACTAGACATTTCCTTCATAAGTTATTGGACAACTTTCTGCTTTCAACAGTTAATGTCTTCATCAGTTATCATAAGTCAACAGAAAGAAATTTACCTTTCTATTTCATATCTGTCTTTGGAGGGTTTTATAACAGATCATCATTTGAATTTGAAATCCTATCTTGCTCATCTTTTATTCCTGATGTGTAATATAGTGCTAATCACATACATAATTGGCACTCAAGAAAAGTTTTGAGGAAAAATCTTAAAAATTAAGATTTTTAAAAACCTAATCAATAATAAGGTATTACTGTTCTTTTCATTTAGTTTCTTTCTTTGACTATTTTAATGAGGCAAATGAGAGCTTTTGGTTTTTTGTTTGTTTTGAGACAGGATCTTATTCTGTTGCCCAGGCTGGAGTGCAGTGGCATGATCTCAGCTCACTGCAGCCTTTGTTTCCTGGGTTCACATGGTCCTTCCACCTCAGCCTCCTGAGTAGCTGGACTATAGGCACGTACCACCACTCCCAGCTAATTTTTGTATCTATTTGGTAGAGACGGTTTTGCCATGTTGCCCAGGCTGGTCTCAAACTCCTGGGCTCAAGTGATCCACCCACTTGGTCTCTCAAAGTGTTGGGATTATGGCATGAGTCACTGTGCCTGGTCTGGGTTTTCGTTGTTGTTGTTTAATGCTAGCTTATGCTTTGTTTTAAGATCATTTTTAGTGCTGACAGAGTTGTCACTTACAACATTTACAGCTCTTATTGTTCAGATATACTGCATTGAGAACAAAACCCACAAAACTTACCTCACAACAGGCTTGAGGTTAAAAGAGGAAAAGATCTTAGATATGTTTTGAGAAAAATGAGATCTGATTGATATGAAGTAAAACATTGTCATGTTTTCTCGTTTGGCCATTGAGAAGTACATGACTAACTTAATCTTTTTTAGAAGTAAGTAATGTCATTTCTGAGCCAAAATGATTAGAAGGCTATGATTTATGTTTGTCTAATTTTGCTTTAGGCAAGGGATATGAATTGTTCATGTAATGATTTTCAAAGGTGGTAATATTTTAATAAGGCTCTATATCTGAAAACTAAGTGGACTGGCTTTATTTAGGTAGTACAGAGTATTTAATGGTACCGGAAGCTATCACAATCCTTTAGTAAGTGCTACCTTAACAGTTTTCAGAAAGCCCTGATGTGTCTTAGATTGAATTTTATTTATTACCCAATAAGAGAGCAAAAAAATTCTCTGTATAACTTTTTGCATAATGTTTTGTTATTTAAAATTTTATTGACTCTTAGACTAATATATGCATATTTTGAAAATTATAAAGACAAAATTAGGAATCATTCATTCCTACCCAAAAATAATTAGTGTTCATATTTGGATATTTCTGCTTAGGCTTTTCCTTCTTCTGACATCTTGTATACAAATGCATACTTCCTTTTAGAAGCACCATTGGG